ATACCACAGAGTGTTTTGTCATACATTGTAATACAGTGTGTTTTGTACAAAATTATACATTATACCACATCTGTCATAACTTATAATATAGGGTGTTTTGTCATACCTAAAATCACAGGGTGGCTGTCATACCTTATACCATAGTGTGTTCTGCCATATTATACGACAGTGTGTTTTGTAATACAATATGCTGCAGTGTGTTCTGTCATATATTATACCATAGTGTGTTTTGTACAACATTATACTACAGTGTCTTCTGCCATACATTATACCACAGTGTGATCTCCCATACATTATACCACAGTGTGTTCTGTCATACATTATACCACATTGTGTTCTGTCATACATTATACAACAGTGTATTCTGTCATAAATTATTATACAACAGTGTGATCTGTCATACATTATATCACAGTGCGATCTGTCATACATTATACCACAGTGTGATCTCCCATACATTATACCACAGTGTGTTCTGTCATACATTATACCACAGTGTGATCTGTCATACATTATACCACAGTGTGTTCTGCCATACATTAAACCACAGTGTGTTATGTCATACATTATACCACAGAGTGTTCTGTCATACATTATACCACATTGTGTTCTGTCATACATTATACCACAGTGTGTTATGTCATACATTATATCACAGTGTGATCTGTCATACATTATACCACAGTGTGATCTGTCATACATTATACCACAGTGTGATCTGTCATACATTATACCACAGTGTGATCTGTCATACATTATACAACAGTGTGTTCTGTCATACATTATACTAACGCATGCTCTGACACATGTTATTTAAGAGTGTCTTCTGTATAACATTACACAACAGTATTCAACGGTGTGTCATACAATGTAGAATCAACGGTAGTGCTGCAATCAAATTGGTTGATAACGATCTTAAATGGACTTGGATCCTTGCATTCTTCTTCATTGTGTATGAATAATGATGGTTTTGGAAGTATCTTATATTTCTCAATGTCATAAAGTGTTCCAGAGTGACTTACAGTGTTCTATAGTGCGTCCTTCAGCGTGTCGCACAGTGTGTTCTACAGTGTTACCTAGAGTGTGTCTTACAGTGTTACCTAGAGTGTGTCCTTCAGTGTTACCTAGGGTGTGTCTTACGATGTCCTACAGTGTTACCTAGAATGTGTCTTACGATGTCCTACAGTGTTACCTAGAGTGTGTCTACGATGTCCTACAGTGTTACCTAGAGTGTGTCTTACGATGTCCTACAGTGTTACCTAGAGTGTGTCCTACAGTGTTACCTAGAGTGTGTCTACGATGTCCTACAGTGTTACCTAGAGCGTGTCTTACGATGTCCTACAGTGTTACCTAGAGTGTGTCTTACGGTGTCCTACAGTGTTACCTAGAGTGTGTCCTACAGTGTCCTACAGTGTCCTGTAGTGTTACCTACAGTGTGTCCTACTGTGTTCTATAGCGAGTCAACCCTGTGCGTCCCAAAGCTGGTGAATATCTCCGGCCTGCATCGACTTCAGCCCCCGCCAGTCGCACCCCCTCCCCCCACCTCCCTCCCACCCCCACGTATGCTGACAAGTCAACAGAACCTTAACCATCAGCACCATATAGCATTATCCTGACTGATGTGTTGTTATATTTGTGACTTGCGTTCTATTTGTTGCCATGCTGTGATTGTTGCGTGGTATTTTGTTGTCATGCTGTGATTGTTGCGTGGTATTTTGTTGTATCGGTGAGGTTGTTAGGTTGCTGTATTGTTGTCGTCATTCCGGTGCATTTGTTGCATTGGTGTGGTTGTCATGTTGCATGTATTATATTGTTGCTGTTATATTGTATTTGTGAGCTTGTTGTGTTGTATTTGTTGTATGGGTGTGGTTGTCATGTTGCATGTATTATATTGTTGCTGTTATATTGTATTTGTGAGCTTGTTGTGTTGTATTTATTGTATGGGTGTGGTTGTCATGTTGCATGTATTATATTGTTGCTGTTATATTGTATTTGTGAGCTTGTTGTGTTGTATTTGTTGTATGGGTGTGGTTGTCATGTTGCATGTATTATATTGTTGTTGTTATATTGTATTTGTGAGCTTGTTGTGTTGTATTTGTTGTATGGGTGTGGTTGTTATGTTGCATGTATTATATTGTTGTTGTTATATTGTATTTGCGAGCTTGTTGTGTTGTATTTGTTGTATGGGTGTGGTTGTCATGTTGCATGTATTATATTGTTGTTGTTATATTGTATTTGTGAGCTTGTTGTGTTGTATTTGTTGTATGGGTGTGGTTGTTATGTTGCATGTATTATATTGTTGTTGTTATATTGTATTTGTGAGCTTGTTGTGTTGTATTTGTTGTATGGGTGTGGTTGTTATGTTGCATGTATTATATTGTTGTTGTTATATTGTATTTGTGAGCTTGTTGTGTTGTATTTGTTGTATGGGTGTGGTTGTCATGTTGCATGTATTATATTGTTGTTGTTATATTGTATTTGTGACCTTGTTGTGTTGTATTTGTTGTAATGGTGTGGTTGTTATGTTGCATGTATTATATTGTTGTTGTTATATTGTATTTGTGAGCTTGTTGTGTTGTATTTGTTGTATTGGTGTGGTTGTCATGTTGCATGTATTATATTGTTGTTGTTATATTGTATTTGTGAGCTTGTTGTGTTGTATTTGTTGTATGGGTGTGGTTGTCATGTTGCATGTATTATATTGTTGTTATATTGTATTTGTAAACTTGTTGTGTTGTGTTGTATTTGTTGTATGGGTGTGGTTGTCATGTTGCATGTTTTATATTGTTGTTGTTATATTGTATTTGTGAGCTTGTTGTGTTGTATTTGTTGTATTGGTCTGCTTCTGGTGTTGTTGTATTCCTGAGACTGTTGCATTGTTCTAGTCGTTGGCGTGTTAACAGACTATAAAGCCAGAGCAAGTAACGTAGAGTCAGTTTGAGAATACTAACTCCAAGTGATCACAGCTCATCACTGAAAACTGGCTAGATGGGGAAAGGGACATGCAGATGCATCGAGTGAGTTTGTGTAACCCACAGCAGATCGATCAGTGTTCATAATGTACATATATCTTCATGACATTGTTACAGCATACCCCTCCCACAGTTGTGCTTCAAGATTTATAGCAAGTGAAACGTGCACTTTCTCCCGTATCCTGTTTGAACACTACCTTAACATTTATATATCCATATATATCCATATATTACATATCCAAAGTCTGTGCTTGTTGACAGCAACACGGCAGATTATCTTTAAATGAATAATGTTATTCTGTTTCAGTAGCTCAACTGTAACGTTCGGGGTGGGGATGATATATTATCGAAAAAAAAGACAAAAAAGAAAGGAACTGCCCGCCAGAAAAAATACGTTGTTGCAAAGCGTTTTCTCAAAACCAACATGTCTTTTTACCAGAGTAAAAGTTAACGTTATGGGAATATTAATAAAACGACAGAAGCATTCATTTTATATATTTTATCATAAATATGTTTTAATGAACTCCTCACAACATGTTGCCCAGTTATCAATTATGTTCACGAACACTCACCATGTTACATTGTGAACATATTAAATATACTACCCAACAGAAGTTAAGGCACACGCAAAATTTTCATATTACTATAGTTACTATAGTTAATGACAGATTTGCCGGTGTTATGAAATAATCGTTTTTCAAAACTTCTTTTGAGTAGTATATATACGTAATATTTATGTTTGTATAACGTATAGTGCTATTCAAATGGTTTCCTCGATTTCCCTGAACAGACTTTGTAAGAAGCAATGTGTAGGAGACAAAAATAAGACGATTCTCCTGCAAATGACAAGAGTATGAGTAGCACTATTAATACAACACAGAAGGTTAAACAAACACTGATTAAATACAAACGACTTCACAGTGAGATACTAAAATCAATGCAGACAATTGAAATCACTTCTCTTAAGTGGACACCCAACTCTGACACCTGGTGCTACAGTGTGAATGGCCATGGCTATTGTAAGCTCAAGATGGTCTCATGGCTGCGCTCACATTAATTCCCGCATCGTCCATAAGACATAAACTGATCCAAAATAAAATAATAAAAAGATTCTGGTTTGCAATTTTGTTGTCGTTGTCACTTGAAGCTTTTGTGTGTGTAGTGACGTCACCCCTGATCCTCCCCCAGTGACTCGGCAACAGAGGTGTGACAATTGTCCAGTCCAGTAACACGGCGCTACAAACTGGCAATTGTCACAAGGGGTAAACCACAGATGTTCAAACACACAGACATATCTGATAGTATCTCCCTCGCTGTCCCCGCTGTTGTTGACAGACCCCCTCTCTACGTGGCCCGGGCCCGTCACAGGACCTCTGCAAGAACCCAGGCGCGTGCATGCCGTTTTCACTGGAAGATGCAAAATACAAATCGGTCTATTTCCTCCCGCTCGTGTTTACCACTATTAGCTTGTAATTACAATAGCCCCCGTGATAATGTGTTTTCCTGGCCCACCTAAAACCCATTCAGATCTCTTATCTGTTGTTGAAGGTCTTGTGAGACTAATTTTATGAGTTGCTTGCTGATCGTGCCGTACCGGCTCGGCCCATATCCACCCGACGGCTCTTCTCTTCAGCTGGGCATCATCACAGATCAGTTCTAATTAACACTGGCGTCTTGTAAAGAAATCACCACAAAAGTAAACCTGCTTCCTCGTCCAATTAATAGCATTAAGGATATTACCGTTATTAACGACTGTACAAAAGCGGAAATAAATCAACGGCCGAAGAAAAAGAAGTCGATAAGCGTAATGTACATGACAGAGGATTGATTGACAGGGGCTAACCAAGGCTACGACTTTCCTGGCGGATTGGATCAAAATTTCTTTTAGGTTCTTTTTCTCTGCTTTCTGAGTCAATAAACAGGGTAACGCCGGCCCCCTAACCCGCAGCCTATCGCACGGCGGGACAGCCTTATTTAGATATGTTGGCTATTGACATTGCACAGCCAATCCGTGCCCGATATTCTAATTATCCACTGTCAAATAATCTGCTCACGGGTATTGTTATAATCTTTCGAGGACGATCAAAATTCCTACTAGGACTCAATCTGTTATAGAGAAAATCATCGGTTGTGAATCTAAGTTGAATAAGGTTTGCGACTTGGCGAAAAAGGACGTTTTTAACCGGACGCTACCAAACATGGAGGGACGGAAGTCGTTTAGCATTGATGCACTGTTATCAAAGACAACCTCGGGTAAGACATCTAGCCCCGTGCCACCTTCACCTCCCTGCAGCTCACCCCGACCCTCATCGTCTGGGTCAAGTCATATGGGCACCCACACGCCCGAGTCAAGCGTGTCACCCCCCGGGCCGGGGATGTCCCCCAACACAAGCTTCGTTCCCAGGCCCGGGCTTCTGAACATCCAACACCCGGCCATGCTGCAACCCACAAGCCTCGGACTACCCGGCATGTTCTCCACCCACCCGCTGTACTCGTACCCCGGACAGACCCCCGGGCACCCCCAGATACCCATGCTGCCAGGGAGCGCCTTCCACACCCCTGCCGAACAGGCGTTCAAGTTAGCCCAACTCCAAGGCATCAACTACGCCGAGTGGCTGGCTCGGTCGGGCATGTACATGCCAAGAGTAGTCGACTATCCAGGAAGCTGTAAGTATTTATATTTTTTTTAATATTGTCTACCTGGAATATTCCAAAATTATGTCTGAACAAAACTCAATTTAGGCATCATTATATTTTATTGGAATTCTAAACTTATAATGTATCAACTGATGGCCTTACCACAAACACACCATCCAATGTATGTGATGTGTGAATTGGATCTATAGAAACAATGCAATGTCCTAATACACGATATGTGTCTACTAAACATCATCTGCTACTGTCTGGTAATTCTAATAATATTTTGTTCAACTTTTTTGTTTACAACACACATACAAATTAGATATTGATGAATGTTGTAAAAAATATACAGTTAAGAGTGTTTACATTTTACACAAAAACAACGTGTGTTTATACGACGTTAAGGGGTTGGTTTCTGTAGCAGCATGGGATGCATTGTTATATTGGAAGGGTTTGTCGACAAGTTCAATAGTTAAAAGTAATTCTCAAAATTATATTTTCGTGTAATATATCAGCTTCAAATACATCTTTATTAATTTCCTACCAATAAAAAAACTGGTTTACAGCCAAGTAATTTATTTGTCGATATCAACAAATTAAAGCTCTTGTTCATGCAGCAAGAATAAAATCAGCATTTATTACATAAGCAAGTTGTTCAGGAGATTTCCTTTATGAAATATTGTAGATGAAAGTAATATTTAAGTTCATCTTTCAAATTGACCTTTTTTGTAACTATATTAGTTTAGCTACTCACGAACACCTGGCATCATCATTATTTCATAGTGATTCATAAACACACGCCTTTGATATAATTCGGAATCGTAAAATGGACACTGCTCTGAGCAGATATCTCTTAAGATTATAACTTTTTTTTGTCGCGTTTATTTACTGCACGTTAGTGTGAGGATAAACGTAATAGGTCTTTACAAAACAATGAGGGAAAACATAAGCTGCAACGACATCAATTCCAGGAGTATTTTTCAGGGAGAAGCTCTGCTGTATTAGGGGAATAGAAAAGGATTCGAAATAATCCTCGAATCCCCAGTCTGTAATCTTACTCAATACCATGATGCGCTGATGCATTTTTCTTTTAACAGCTAATTCATTTGAAGATAAAACCATGTTATATGTTAGGAAAACACTGTGCAAGATAGCGCCAACAAGGATACTGTAACTCATTTGGCTATTACACGATTTATCAAATTAATGTTTCTGCAGATGCTATTCAATTTGAAGCCGAAATGTTTTTTTCTCTCTTTTATTTAAACATTTCATTTTTTAATAACAAATTGCGTTAAGATATTGATGTTAGTTTAATGACGAGATATGTTAGCACATATCTTCCCTGGTTTCAGTAAGTAACATATATAAGTACAATGCATGCTGTAATAATTTAAATCGTTTTATTCAAACAGATCAACAATATTTTTTGCAAAACAAACAACATTTTAGGGGTTATAAAACTTTATTGCTTAATTGTCTTCTAAAGTGCAATGAATAAAATTACTATTGAGTGTTAACGGAGCGATATGAACTATTATTAGCTATCTTACATAATTCAGATGGCTGGATCTGATTGAATATGGTTATTATCAGCACCTGTTCACAACCCCACCCATGCTTTAGTACCTAGACGTACAGGATGGGATAGTTAAACAGCTTTGCAAACACAACACACAAAGTAAATACACCTTCATATATCACTGCGTTGTAGTGAGAGAACCTAGTTCTATAAGCTATCGATGATACTCTTAAAATGTGTGGAAATTATAGTGTGGTCATAAAACGATTTAATATTGTGTCATTGTGTCCTGGTACTTGAGAGAGGTGTGCTCGGTGCATTTATAACCTGATTTGATCATGCCGTGTCTCACATACTTCTTGTCAAAGGGTTCACCCTTTCCTCGTTTAGGAAACCTACAAGCTTGATGCCTCTAGTTTTGTTAATTGAAAATAACATTCCATGCTTGCCCACTGCTGGTATAGTATGACGCTATATATTATAAATGTACACATTCTCCCAGCTGTAGCAACTACATGTGGTAATGCTATTTAGGACGAATACAGTTCCTCATAAAATGAAACTACCTAATCAGTTTTAGTGACCATTCTGTTACTTCACGTAGGGTTGGACAGGCATACATGACTTTCGATGGTTGATCCTCTGGGGCTTAACAGCAGGACAACACTGTTAGTATTGACATCTCGTCATAAATTGTAAATAGAAAGCCAAAAAACACTTCCCACATTCATATTCAGTCGATTGTATGATTCCGACTGTATCCAGAACATGTGTTTATGAATCACCATAAAAAAGTGATGATACAAGGTGTTTGCGTAAAAGGTGAGCGTATCCTACCCCACCGGTGGCACTCGTCACAAACACATGCAAAGGCGAATCAATTGTTCACCGGAAAAAAGACGCGGGAACATATGGTACAAGTCAAAATAGGGAATTGCATCGGACATAAATTTTGTTAGGATAACTTAATAATCATCGAAGTAACGTCGATTTCAAAATGTTTAGAATTTTTTTTGGATTCTGTCTGATGACAATTTCATTAAATAATTCTATTTCCTGGTCCAGCTCTCGGAGGTTATAATCAATTAAGATAAAAATCCTGTCCTGGAATACATTAATATGTTTGCTAATTAGAACTAGTCAAAAGCATGATGTCATAATGCGGACACATAGGTCATCGCGTTTATATAAAGCATCACAATATTAATTTGACATTTAAATGTTTTGTTCACATTTGCTAAACATTAAATGTGAATTATTTAATCTTAGCTTATTTATTTCGATCGTGGTTGAAATATGATGGTTAGAGTGTCTGTGTATTAATAACAATGTTACCATACAATGGTAACGTTTAATAAAATATTGTATTTAATGAAATAATAATGTGTATTACGTGAAAGGTTAGACGTCTCACCAAGGGTAATACGAATAAAGAATTATGAATATCGTAACGAAACTGTAGCATACAAAAATGCTACTGGTATAATACACACTACGCCTTCTATCACAAAGGACACGCTGTGGTCACACAATATTGTCATTGAATTAAAAAGTTCATAATTTTAAGCTCAACGTTATGTTTTGTTTCGTATTCTTAAATTTCTCTATTACTAGCATGTTTACCGAATACAAACACATATTGAGTTGTCGTGGCAGGTGTTAATTAGAAGAGATGCAGTCTATATATGCAATCAATGGTTTAATCCGTTTTGATTTCGTATATGTTTGAACCGGTATCTCAGTTCAAAGTACCCTTATAATATTACGTCAGAGATCGATTCTGGGAAGATGTGGGGATTTTGTATTCTCCTACACAGGGGGATGCAAAGATTGATCGTGTTGTATACAGCCTATGGGAAGAGTATTCGCTATCTTGTTGATTATAATACACAACACATAGTTTGAACAGTGAAGCATATATATGAAAATATGTCACACGTTATTCAAAGATTATTGAAACAAACAACTCATAATAAAATAGGTTTATCATTGAATGTTGAAATTATTGTTATGCAGAAGACTGATTGTTTTCTGTGTATTAATTATCTACTTGCAGAAAGCTTTGTTTTGTTTAGATTTAGTTTGTAGGTCAAAACAGCCAATGGCATTGGGTACAAGTGCAACACTTAAAGCTCCTTTGCACCTTCTCACAATATACAGTTAACCGTTATATTATATAATGGAAACGAATCATGAAAAATGACATTATGAAATCACAATGCACAATAGCATTAAGTACTGACGTTAAGAGTAAAGGAATATGCATAATGTACTAGAAATTGACAACAGTGTACATCTCATACATATGCAAAGATCATATACAGTTTAGTGTTTAAAAATAGATTTGACAATATTAATAAATTACAATATAGAAACAGTAATATGCTAACTACTAAACAAAAAGAAAGAGGTTTAAACTCAGAAACACAACAGACCACTGATGTGTCTTTCTAAAACGGACAAGTATTTATTTTCTGGTTCCATGGATGCTTTTCATAATGTTTTGTCAATGAAGGATCCAAACTTATGTCAATCTTCGATTTTTGCAAAGTAGTTCGTGATCACGTTGTTTTCCCTATGTAACAAGGAAATGATAAAAAGGCCTACCCTTTCAGATTCTGCACAGTGAAAGTAAGAAGGGCCAGGGAATTAACAGTTACGTTAGCAAAATAATTAACAAATGCCAACAGGTCTCGAAAACTGCAAATACATGTTTGATGTATTATTAGAAGAAATCGATATCACTGTTATATCTAATCTTAGAAAATATTACAATTACATTTTTATAACTCTTGCTAAAGAAAAGAAGATAGGTAAAGTGTGTTCATTTAATGGCAAATGTTTTATAAATAAAACTATATATATATAATATAATTCGTCCAGTATCTGAATTTCGTTACTTGATATATCAGGAGGACATGCTATTGAACATTATGCAAATATGTTTTCAGCAAACGCGGAACTTCTGTTGAAATTGACTATTAATTGGCAATGTAATCAATTATTGAAATCTCCAATACCAAACCATTGGATGTCTTCTTTATACTGAGTAAGAAAACAGTATTTGTGTGTTGATGTGATGCGATGTGAAATGCAAATTCGTTTTCCTAAGTTATGTTGTTTGCATGCAATTAATTCCTATATAACCGGTTTCAGTGTTTGACTATGTAACTAAATATTAAACGATCCAACCTTTTTTCTTGTATTAGGATATATATATGACTAATAGTCTTTGCTGTCTTATAATCTCGTTAATTTCGATTATTTATTCGTTGAACCACGTGACCCTTCCTGGAAGACCTCTGGGCGGAAGATACATTGTATACTGTGTTTAATTGGATTTCCTACTGCATCCATTGTTACTGACATTCACCTCTCCATATATATACATTTGCATTTTATTTATTGATTAATTCATAACAACATTTAGTTGTTTTGTAAACATGGCATCGGTTGTGCATTTCATATATTGATAATTGAATTAAAAAAAAACAATAAATTGCAA